CGACTGGTGCGCTCGTCGCAGAGCCATCTCAGCTCACTTATCCTCCGGCTTCAGCGCTTCTAAAGTGTCGGTGGGGTTGGATGAGGATGCTAGTCTCACTATGGGATCGTCTACCTCCGGAGTGTTTAGCATGTTAGAAAACTCCGAGTCGAGATTAAACAATCTCTTGTCTTGACTGGAAGGAGCAGGAGGGGGGCCCGCAGAGGCCCATTGCCTTGCAACCAAATCGGAAAAAATTGGGGGAGTTGGAATGACCTCGGTTTCGATGACTGGCTGTCTGAAAACTGAGTCTTCTGGTCCCCCCGGGATCGCTGGTGATGGTTCAGAAGGAGACTGGGAAGCCAGGCCCGAGACATTCTTTGCCTTGAATAACAAGGACTTAAACAAGTGAGGCTTAAATAGGCCTACGAATACTGGCTGGTCAGGGGAAATGCCCTCGTCCTCGGACATCTCCCCTTCCATGGGGTCTACCTCGAAAAATGGTTCTGAATATTGGATCGACCCCCTGTCTGAACCTTCCTCTTCCCTGAAGGGTTCAAACCCCATTTCTTCCTCTTCCTGGCTCACCTCCCCTTCCGGGAAGGGGGCTTCCACTTGGGAAGGTACCTGACCGTGATGTGAAGCCGGTCTGGAGATCGATCGTCCGGACATCGATTCGGCCTCGGGTGCCATCGTTTGGGAACCTGGTCTGGCCAACTGCTGGATACCCTCTGCTATCCCTTGTCTGATGGCCAGTTGCATCCACTCTCTAATGCTGTCCGGGATAATGGTTGAGGACGGGTCTTCTGGACGTAGGCCCGCTGCAGTTGGTGTGAAAGTCGCCTCTGGCGTGCGAGAAGTCTGGTGGCTACGTGCAGGTGAGCATCTGGAAAGAGAAGGTTGACCTGAAAGGGGAGGGGGTTGAGTAGAAGCAGAGGGCAGGGCAGGATGTGCAGAATGCGAGTCTTTAGATCGTTTGTCAAACTCCTTCTCCAAGGCCTTATGACGCCTTAAGGCATCCATTTGAGAGGCCTTGGAGGAGTCCTTGTCCCTTTTGCGCAGATAGTGCGTCTTAGACTTTGCCTTCAAAGAAGAGCCACTAGGATTGCCTTCTGCCATGACACAAAAAAGATTTTTGACAATAAGGAAAAAAAGGCGGTTGGCACGCCTGGGAGTTCGACCTACAACGTAGGCCGGCTTTCTTATAGTTGGGCCGCGTCCCCCTTTTGGATAATTTTTTTTTGTGGGCGGGGCCCAAAAAAATGCCAATCAAGTCCAGCCAAGGAACAGAAATAAAACAATAATGTACCTTCAACTTATCTTAGTAAGAAGAAGGGAAATAAATTTGGAGTTAAAAAACCTAAATAACCAATCCATCAAATGAACGCAGAGGCCAGGAAAAAGGAAAAAAATATGAATAAGAATAACCAACAAAGGGCAAAAAAAGGTGGGCCTCCTGAGGCAGCCTCCCAACAAAAATGGGAAGTGAGTGCCTGAGTCTCTGGGCGAGCTGCGGGCAAGAACAGAAAGCCAACAATAATAGCAATACAAAGGGTAACCGGGCACTGAACCACTCTACCCTCAAAATCCGGGCTCCACGCGGCCTGTCGGTCCCGCTATGGGCCTTTAGAAGCCTCGCAGCCCGATCGGAAAGATACGAAATTCAAAATGGCGGCCGGCCACGAGGCGCCCTCAAAATGGCCACCAGCTCCGGCGTGACTACCCCAGACACCCAAACCCTCTGAAATCCACCAATGGCTGGAAAAAAAGGCAGAAAGAAACACGAGGGTTGAAAGAAGAAGCTCCCTTCTTCTAAGCATTCGTGGGGGGAAGGCGCAACGCAGCGCTATCTGTAGCGCGATCTCAAGCCGCTTCTCAGCTGTAGCGCGGCTAGAAAAAACAGCAGAGGAAGAGGAGGGGGGGTGGGGGGGGCAAAGGGCTCCAAACCCCCTATTTCCCCCCTTAAGGAGCGAAAAAGCTCCTAAACTAAATTTGGGACGAAAACTAAAAACGCAGGGAACAAGGAGAAAGGAGAGATCAAACCTGAATTGCAGAAAAAAGCGAAAGGAACCTGGATTGGCCAAGGAATAAACGAACAGCTGCCTGTCTCTAGCGAGGCTGAGCTAAAACTGGGGGAACGCATGGAGGAGTCACGTGGAGGAGGAGGAGAGTTGCTCAATTATAGCTCAGCCTGTTAGAGTGAAGACTGGAGCACCTCCCACGGTCTGGATGCTCGCAGCAGCTCCACGGAGAAGAGGCCATTCTACTTCTCCGCATCCTTAGGCTGTGTAGCTCTGTCCTGAAAGCAGGCCCCATTTTTGGAGCGGCTGCAATGAATTGTGGCCATTGTGAAAATGGCACCCATTTCCGGGACAAAGCCATGCAACCTAGTGATGCCAAGGGGTAGAGCAGCAGGTCCTCATTATTATATGACACAAACACAAATGTTCTTGTAATGGATTTCTTGTAATGGATTTCTAATATTTGGCTTAGTGAGATCTTCCAAGTTTCAAAAAATAGGAGTCATATCAAGTCCATTGCCATATTTACTCCCAGTAAATTCTTTGAAGAAAATCATCTGAAGATGGAACCACAGATTGATTCCACCTCTGTTGGCTAGAAGGTAGGGCTTATATTTTTCCCATCTAGTTTAGAATAGCTTTTCCCTTCAGTTTTAGCTCTACCTTCTGCAGAAGAAGAAAGTATTCAACCCACCTCTATCTTTGTCTATTGGCCGCTCATATGTGAGAGTCAGCTAGCTTGCTACTTGCTACTACCGCTACAGAAATGGGAGTGGGAGAATTCAGTGGATATTTTTTCTTTGCAGCTTTGTAACTACTGATCTGAGTTTTGCTTCTCTCTCCAAGGTCATTTCTTTTAGCTCTGGAATGCAATATCCAGAGACGATACACTTGAATCAAAGATTTTCTCAAAACATTTCCTGGCTGGTGCTTGCCCTAGCTTCAAGAGGTTCACCTCTACGATTTGTTTTCAATTGGGGGCTTCGTGCGTTTTTGCCTCAGAACTTGCCTGATTTAAGTTGCATTCAGTTCTTTCCTAGTAAAAGTATCTTTTCTCTAAATCTATGGAGCCAAAGGTTTTTATTTCCAAGGATCAGACAGAGGCAGCCCAGGCAATGGGAGAAAGTGAGAAAAGAAGATGTAAGTAGATGACAGACTAGCACCAATTCTGTTGTATAATGCAGAGGACACATAAAGACCTCCAGAATCTTATTTTCAGCAGACAACCATGTGGAACCCCAGCTCAGTCAGAGAACCATCTGCCTTCCCTTCCTCCTCTTCAGAAGAAAATAATGGCAAACAGGGATCACAAAGGCCCTTTTTTTTTTTAAATTCTTGTTCATTTCTTAACTAGGTTTACAGAAAAAATTAAAAAATTACAGAAGTACAAAATATAAAAACACACAAAAACTAAAAAAATAACAAAAACAATTTTAATCACTCTATTAATTGCACGGCCTACTGATCAACAGTTGTAACAAATCAAGAGGTCCAATAAGAAAATAATTAAACTTTAAAAAGTCTGATTTCGTGTTTGTTTCATCCTCTAAAAAGTTTTCTAATTCAGGTAGACCTTGACTTATGACCACAATTGAGTCCAGAAATTTTGTTGCTAAGTGAAATATTTATTAAATTAATTTTGTCCTATTTTACAACCTTTTGTGCCACAGTTGTTAAGGGAATCACAGTTAAGTTACTAACATAGTTGTTAAGTGACTCTGGCTTCCCCATTGACTTTGCATATCAGAAGGTCACACAAAGTGGTCACATGACTCTAGGACACTGCAACTGTCACAAATATCAAAGTCAGTTGCCAAGCATCTGAATTTTGATCACATGACTATGGGGATACTGCAACTGTCGTAAGTGTGGAAAACAGTCATATGTCACCTTTTTCAGTGCTGTTGTAACTTTGAAAGGTCACTAAATGAAATATTGTAAGTTAAGGACTACCTGCATTCTAAATCCGTTACTAGTTTACCTTATTCATTCCAATTTTGTTCACTATTAAAGAACTTTTCAATTATTTTCAATTCGTGGTTGCTTATTGCAAAGCTCTATATGGTGAACCATAATCTCTTTTCTCTTAAAAGAAAAAACACACTTGACAAACCAGCACAAAGGTCCTTCAATAAAAACTCACCTTCCCTCATAGCAACAAATTGTTGGCAATAAAATTTCCAAATAGCTACAGAGTAATTCTGGTCTTTAAGATAGGTAAAACTGTTTTGAGTAATCTCTTTTCTCTCAAACATCCAGGTTTCTGCAGGCTGACAAAGGATGTCTTTGAGCCATGCATGGAGAGGAGGGGAAATCCTTTGGCAGAAGGCAACAGCTTGCAATCTTCCCTGCCATTTTCCCTACTGACTTTCTGGAGAAGCAAGCAGATTAGATAGCAAATGGCCACCACACGATCACGGGGTGCTGGGTACCAGTCGTAAGTGCAAACCGATGGCCAAGTGCTCAGATCACTACCATGTGACTGGGGATGGGCAGCACGTGATATTTTATGATGGCCGAAAATGCTTTGTGGACCATAAAGCACCCTTTCTGAGCGTCCTAACTTCAAATGGTCATTAATCAATTGGTTGTAAGTCAAGGGCTACCTGTATCACAGCACCATTAGCTTCCCTTCACTTCCATTTTTGCATAGAAAAATAAGTGAAACAATGGGACATATACAATCATTCCAGCTACAGGGTCTCTTTTGCTCCCCCAAAGGAATGTGAGTGTCTCATTCTTTCCCATTTTATCTGCCATGATCCTGAGGTTCTTCAGACCATCAGGTGTTTTGAAAATGTTTCATATTTGTAAAGCTAAAAAAAAACAACCACTCACACAAAATGAACCATCATGAATATTAGCAAGGTAGCACAAAGTTGATTCCAATGCAAGCCAAAGTTGTGGATTATCAACCTTTTGCTGATTGTAGTTTGCCGCATGGTTAGCATCAGATTAAGCCTAACACAATATATAAGGTTGCTCTTAACTTTCAAGTACCTGGTGTAAGGAGACAATTCACCTTTGAAAATATCTCTTTGAGGGAAGCCATGCTTCGACTCCGCTGCCGATTTGCCTGAAAATAGACAAAACTCAAGTTAGTAAAAACAAACTCGAGATCTATAAATATTATAGTTAGCATAAGTCAATACAGCTAAATGCTTACAATCTAAATATTACAGTCACTCCCAGAACAAATAGTAAAATTACTGGCTGACTATTTTTATAATGCTTAGTAGAAATTCCGTAGACATATAAGAGACATAACAATATTTATTAAATGAAACAACTGATTGGCCACAAAGGAGGAAACTATGCACGGCCAGTTTAGCTATCAGAATACACTGAAATATAAACAATTTCTAAAAAATTATGTCAGAAAGCTATGAGCATAATTGGGCATGCAATCCAAGAAAGTATTAGTTTTAAAACCTAATATCAAGAGTGGGAGAGTGAGAAGAAAGATTTTAATTTGAATGAGCAGCAGAAGTCTTTTTCCATTTCTGAGCTGAACAAGCTATATTGGTCAAATTATGGTAGTAAACTCCATAAATTTAAGTTTGATTCTAATTCGCTTCTACAAACTAGCATTTAAACTATCCTTCTCCAAGTAGTATTCTCCAGATGTGTTGAATATAACTCCAAGCCAGTCCAAAATTACTGAACTTTATTAAGCTAACTATAACAATGCAGTAAGAAATGTAAGGGGTTTAAATTGAAACCAGATACTTCCAATCTTTTCTTCTTGCTTTGTCAGAGAAAAAGTAAAACAGAGGAAATACATGGAAACATTACACTCCCATTAGTCCAATAAAATTATCTCTCAGATTAATTGTGAACATTACAGAGCTCTCTAATCAAGGAAAGGTGGCTGGAACTGCTGTAAAATTAAAATACACTGCTCAAAAAAATAAAGGGAACACTTAAACAACACAATGTAACTCCAAGTCAATCACACTTCTGTGAAATCAAACTGTCCACTTAGGTAGCAACACTGATTGACAATCAATTTCACATGCTGTTGTGCAAATGGAATAGACAACAGGTGGAAAGCATAGGCAGTTAGCAAGACATCCCCAATAAAGGAGTGGTTCTGCAGGTGGTGACCATAGACCACTTCTCAGTTCCTATGCTTTCTGGCTGATGGTTTGGTCACTTTTGAATGCTGGCGGTGCTTTCACTCTACTGGTAGCATGAGACAGAGTCTACAACCCACACAAGTGGCTCAGATAGTACAGCTCATCCAGGATGGCACATCAATGCAAGCTGTGGCAAGAAGGTTTGCTGTGTCTGTCAGCGTAGTGTCCAGAGCATGGAGGTGCTACCAGGAGACAGGCCAATACATCAGGAGACGTGGAGGAGGCCATAGGAGGGCAACAACCCAACATCAGGACCGCTACCTCCGCCTTTGTGCAAGGAGGGACAGGAGGAGCACTGCCAGAGCCCTGCAAAATGACCTCCAGCGGGCCACAAATGTGCATGTGGCTGCTCAAATGGTCAGAAACAGACTCCATGAGGGTGGTATGAGGGCCCGACGTCCACAGGTGGGGGTTGTGCTTACAGCCCAACACCGTGCAAGATGTTTGGCATTTGCCAGAGAACACCAAGATTGGCACATTCGCCACTGGGGCCTGTGCTCTTCACAGATGAAAGCAAGTTCACACTGAGCACATGTGACAGACATGACAGGGTCTGGAGATGCTGTGGAGAACATTCTGCTGCCTGCAACATCCTCCAGCATGACCGGTTTGGCAGTGGGTCAGTAATGGTGCGGGGTGACATTTCTTTAGGGGGCCGCACAGCCCTCCATGTGCTCGCCAGAGGTAGCCTGACTGCCAATAGATACCGAGATGAGATCCTCAGATTGCTGGTGCGGTTGGCCCTGGGTTCCTCCTAATGCAAGACAATGCTAGACCTCATGTGGCTGGAGTGTGTCAGAAGTTCCTGTAAGACGAAGGCATTGATGCTATGGACTGGCCCGCCCGTTCCCCAGACCTGAATCCAATTGAGCACATCTGGGATATCATGTCTTGCTCCATCCACCAACGCAACGTTGCACCACAGACTGTCCAGGAGTTGGGGGATGCTTTAGTCCAGGTGTGGGAGGAGATCCCTCAGGAGACCATCTGCCACCTCATCAGGAGCATGCCCAGGCATTGTAGGGAGGTCATACAGGCACGTGGAGGCCACACACACTACTGAGCCTCATTCTGACTTGTTTTAAGGAAATTACATCAAAGTTGGATCCGCCTATAGTGTTTTTTTCCACTTTAATTTTGAGTGTAACTCCAAATCCACACCTCCATGGGTTGCTAAATTTGATTTCCATTGATAATTTTTGTGTGATTTTGTTGTCAGCACATTCAACTATGTAATGAACGAAGTATTTAATAAGAATATTTCATTCATTCAGATCTAGGATGTCTTATTTTTGTGTTCCCTTTATTTTTTTGAGCAGTGTATAATGGCTAGTTTGTTTTCTATTAGCAAAGATGTTGAACATCAAGATAAAAATAATAACATACATTTGTCTCATAGCCTTTAAATAAAAGATATGACTGAAAAAGATTGGGTTAATAAAATCCAATCACATTAAATGCTTATTTCAAAAGTTATTTTAGTAGCATGCCAAATGATTTAACTGCTTTTTTGAAGGGACTGTAATTTAGTCAACATTTTACTATTCTTCCTACTTTTTTCCCCTTGTGTACAAGGAGAATATTACTGACCAACAATGGCTTTTTACCCCAGCTCTCCTATTCCTGCAGTTTATTTTTCACCTTAATATAGTCCAGGGCTGTAATTTGAGAAGCAATTGCAAGGTTCAAACGAGTCTCCAAATTCTGAAAAACGAAGACATTACAGTAAGTATTCCATATAGAATGAAAACCAAAAGCGAAGTAGAACTATAGACAAGGAAAGCTGTAAAGCAGTGTAGTGAACAATTTTAAAAATGCACTCATATTTAGGCAAATATCAGGGAAAATTTATTTTTCATAAAATCTTTTCCAAAAATGCATGTAATTTTAAACGGTTCTCTCTGATAGTTTTTAGACATTTGTTTATTAAATTTCTATGCCACCCATTTTGCTGAAATTACACTTGACCTTCAGTATAAATCCTTAAAACAATAAACATCATAAATTTAAAATTCAGTTAAAATCCAGTTGACCAAGATGGAGAGGAAGTGAGCAAAATGTGCATGGGGAAGAGGTGGGCTCTATTAGGCAGGATTTAAGGTAGGGGAATAAGAGCAAGATTAAAGGAGGAATGCACATTTACTTATATAATTTTTTCTTCTGCTTCAGTAGAGAAATCTTAAGAAATATTTTCTAAGAAACTGATACTTATTTTTATTTAAATTTATTTATTTCAAATATTTCTATTTTTGACTTTCTCTTCTACTTACACTGATCACTTAGGAAGCCCCAAGAACAAGCAAGTGAACAGTAAACACCCCACTTTTTTCTAGAACAAAAGTCCCTGCTGATGCTTCAAATCAACCAGTGTCACACATAACAAAGGAAGGCAACAGATTAGTGAGGTCTAGTGGGTCTGGAGCCTTGATGTAGAGGGAGGTCCAAGACTCTGACACTATACTGTGGATTCCAAGAATTATATATTCCATGAATAAAATCATCCTGAGGTCAAAGAGAACTTCATGCATAAGATTTGGAAGTTTCCCAATTTCCCCATCATATTGCTAACTACATATTAAAATCAACCTGAACAGCAATTGGAATGATATCTAATGTGAAGTAAAAGGTAAAGGTTTCCTTTCAGTCATGTCCGATGGTGTTCATCTTTTTTGGCCGAGAAAGCTAGTATTGTCCGAAGACCATTTCTGTGGTCATGGCTATATGCCAGAGACGCATGGAACGCTGTTATCTTCCCATTGAAGTGATACCTATTTATCTCCTCACATTTGCATGGTTTAGAACTGCAATCCTATTGCGTGAAGCTCGGGTCTCAAACTCAGGCTGCCAGCTCTCCAGCTGACAAGTTCACTGGTCTTTAACCACTGAGCCATTGTGCCCCAAGCTAGTATCAGGATACATTGCAATACTGATGTAGGCATTTCATATACAGACAGGAATCAGCAACCCAATCAGATTCTTGTGAATACAAAGGGCAGAAAATGCAGACCCTTGACATGATTTGTTAAAAATACCAATTGATATAGTGACCCCAACCACCATTTACCATTTGTTCAAACTGATTGTTGAAGTCAGGCTGCAGGAAATCTCTCATTTCACTGAGAATGCAGATTACATGAGCCACACGAGCCTCTTCTATCTCTGGCAAAGATACTTCAACTACTGAGGCTCCTAAGTCCACTAGGAACTCCACTGCTGAACATTCAGCGATAGCAGAAAGAAGAAGAAAAATAAACTTCACTTTTAGATAAATATTGAGATGCCAGGAGTTTAAATTCACATTTAAAAACAATCTTTGTGCTACAATCTAATCCAGATCCACTTTTATGGGGCCATTATATTGTACTTTGATATCAACAATGATGCAAAAATGTAAAAAATAATATTATTATTATTCCATTCCATTCAACTTCTCTTTGACCATCTTAAAACTGTCCAAACAGAACACATCCAAGCAAACTGCACAACTCAAAAATCATGCTCTGGTTCCTTTAATCCATCCTTAATTAGCTTTCTTCCATGAATATAAAATATATACATGATACCCTCCTGGATGGTGCTAGCAATTCATGGCATCAGTTTATATATGCTCAAATGAATTTTTGTTTGCTAGGAAGAGGTCTATTTGTTGTAGTTCATGGATGACTGGTACGTGGTGCTGGCAAGAAGTAAACTTATTAATTAGAAGTTTCCAATCTTTCCCATAAATATGGAAAATCCATGACCATCACCCCCTTGCACTCTTTAAATTAAACAATGGCATCACAAGGAAAAAATGCTTATTCATTCCTTCACATATTTGTTTGAAGTAAATTACTTCCAAATCAAAATTGTTTTTGCTCTACAAGAAAGTTTCCAAATTCAAATTTGATCTGAAGGATCAAAAATTGCACTGAGAAGAGGTTTAAACATAGCTGTCCTACCTGAATTTCACTTCAAAAAATAATTGGGAATTCCAATCACCTCACCTTTGATACAGCATGTATTTTCTTCCTGCAACCTAAACACACTGGGCTTTCAGTGTGCTATCATCCTAGCCTCCTTCACTCACCTGTATTCATGATCTTTTTTTATCGTGATAAATAATTAATACCGTAGGATCAAAATATGCACCTATTTCTCCTTAGATTAGATTTTCTCAGGAACATAGTACAGCTTCTGAAACACTTTCACTCCTCAAACACTCATGCAGTGATTTGGAAATTGCAAGACACTTTTGATCTTCAAGATGTATAAGCAAGAGATACTCAGCAGGCAGATACAACACTGATCAGCAAAAATTAATGATCATTTGCATGTTACCTTTTTGGCAGACAGCTAAGATTTCAGAATCACATGCCTAGCAGATAAGACAAAACACAATTTATTTAGTGTCTTTCCTCATTTTTCCAGAATCATTGCAAGACACTCAGTACCTCCCCATGTTTTTTACCATTTCATATAATCATGACACAACTCTCTGTTCTACTACAAACATGTCTCAAAACTGATCTAAGGACCAAAGTTTGCCCATAAAATATTATAATTGGTGCCCAGGTATAAAATGTTAATACAGAAGAAATAGAAAGAAATACCTTAAAGAAACTCCAATCAATTCCCAATTTTAAACCATTCAGATTAGTGTTAACGTTTTCTGAGAAGGATGGTTCAGGTTGGTGCAATCCTGTAATGGATTTAAAGAAGTAAGGACAGACCCAGACATTTCATACAATTTTTAAAAACCCTTCTTCCTTGTGTTTCAAGTGAGTAAGTAGCAATACGCACCATATGGATACTGTAAATCTGACCCAGCCAAGGTAGCATAAGCAATAGCAGCATCTGTAACTGAAGTGCAGAGAGGGCCTGGCAAAAATTGAAAAAAAAACAGTTATTCACTTTTCTAATGGTCCTATACTTTCCAATTATTTCTGAATTTAAGAGAACTTTATAGCCCCTTAGATTGTGGGAGAAAGCAGAACAGTGTTAAAACATTGTTGCCTGTTTTGAAAAGTGAAATAAAGGAGTACTCTGTCAGGCAACTTACTGTGGAGGACATTTCTGATGTGGTACAATGGCAACATCCAAGAATAACTCTTCCTTTTTCTCAAGAACAGTAATAAAAATCAAACAGACTTTCTTTTCAAATAATTACAATGGCACTTCATTCTTTACCATCTTCAAAGTTTACTATTCCAATACAATAAACTGTTTTTTGAAAGTATTCTAAGCACATCTTCTTTTCAGTATCAGTTATCAAACACTTTGGCAGTTTTCAAAGATTACACGCATTCATCCTCATGTGTCCCGTCAGATAATGATAAAAACATATTGTTTTTAAGGAAGATAAAGAAATAAAGTATGTGATTGGAAAGATGAAACCACTAGCTTTTATTTTTCTCCCATGAAGGGTTGATTTTGTGCAGTAAATACATGTCTTCACTGATGCTTTGGAAAAGGCCAGTTACGAGGGCAACACATTGTTTACATAGCAGGGAGAGCAATCAATGGAGTTATGAGAATATTTCTGATTTCTGCTGTTACCAAACAAACAAGAAGTAAATCAGCTCAGCTGCCCAAGGAAGAACTGGATTAAGAGGTTTGGTGACAATACAGGATCAACATCAATGGCCAATGTAGAAGTTGTAATTTTGCAAAAATGAAGCATCTTGGAAAAGACATACCAGGACCTACTGTAAAAGTTTTATGTTGCCTATCATGCATTCATTCCCAATGTTTTCTCATATACAACTCAAATATCAATTGTCAAGTTCGAAGTACACTTATGCTGTTGCAACTATTATCACTTCTCGGCTTGCCAATGAACTACAGGGGAGGGGAGGGGGAAATGGAATGTAGGCTCTAGACATCAAGAAGACAAACCCTGAGAGGCAAGGAAACTTCACCAGGTGGCTAAAATCCTTAGAAACCCTTTCTCGTAACAATTCAACAACATTTAATTGGGCAATATGCCCTACACTAATAGGATGCTACCAATTCAGGGTGATGCTTTTTGGACTACAACCCCCCCCCCCAGCTGTGTTCATGCAATTGATAAATGAAGTGTTGCATGAGTACCTTCTCATCTATTCTGAGACCACATGTGAAACTAGTACGCTGTACTGAAAAAACTCCTAAACGCTAAGCTGTCCAAATTGTCCAAATAGATAGTCTGGATTATTTAAGTTATAGAGGGTCTTGTGAAGGGGTGGAAATGGACCCAGGAAAAGGAAAAGTGATTTTGGAGTGGCAAGCCCTCCCACATCCACAAGCAACTGCAAAGCTTCCTGGAGTTTGCAAACTTCTATAAGCAATTCATCCCCTCATTTGTGAAAATCACTCTGCCGATTATGGAGCTATTGAAAACAGCGGGAGGGGAAGAAAAACTCCGGCCCAGCCAGCCACTAAACTGGACAATGGAATGCCAGGCAGCTTTCTAGATGCTTAACAGTCTATTTGCAGCTGAGCTGGTCCTAAAACACCCTAACCCCGAGGACCCATTTATGATCCAAGCAGATGCCAGTGATGTGGCAGTGGGGGCAGCACTCCTCCAAAAGAATAGAGAGGGGAAACTGTAACGTGTACCTACACCTCCAGAAAGCTGAATGAGACTGAGAGACACTGGGAAGTATGGGAGAAGGAAGCCTTCATGGTATGGTAGGTGCTATTGATGTGGAGGCAATTTTTAGAGGGGGAGTAAAATCCCTTTTGAGGTGTGGACTGACCACAAAAATCTAGAGGCATTGAGAACCCCCCATAAGCTCTTCCCAAAGCCCATTTTGTAGCCTGCATGAGCTTCTCTCTAGCCCAGAAGCTGGCCCCCACTACAACGACCTGGGGCTTCTGCAGATGTTCCTGCAGCACATATATTGATTGCACAGAGTGCCAAAACGCATCATCTGAGATGGGGGGGAGTGTCCAATTCATGGATACATTTTGGCACAAATTCATAAAACTGATAGGGCCCTCCCAGGCCAAAGAGCTCAGTTCAGTGTTTCATCCAAGCATGAACGGAGCTGTGGAATGAGCCAATACCATGGTACAGCAATACCTACATTGCTATGTCCACTATCAGCAATAACTGGATGGAGCTTCTGCCATTTGCATGCATATCTGCACTGGTCTCACTCTTTTTAAGATAGCTATCAGAGTGGAATTTGTGCCCATGCCAGAATACCCACAGGAGCACCCGTCATCAGATACCTTGACTGAATGTATAGACTCTCCTCAAAGCACATGGTGTAATATAAAGCCACAGAGAGCCAAAAACGGCAGGCAGATAAGAAAAGGCCTCCCCAGGAGACATTTCACTTAGGGGACAAAGTGTATCTGTCCACAAAATTCCTAAAGTTGAGGCTGCCATGCAGAAAATTGGGTCCAAAATACATAGATTCCTTCCCTATTGTAAAAATAATCAACCCAGTTACAATAGAACTGAAACTGCCTAGGATATTGGGGAAGGTACATGAGTTTCCACTGTAGTCTGTTAAAACTGACCTATGACTCTAGACTAAGGCCAATTGAGAAAGAAGCCCCAGGTCCAGTTATGGGGGGGGGGGTGAAAAATGCTATGAGTTCAAGCAGATTTTAGACTCCTGGCATTATAAAGAAAAGCTGCAGCACCTGATGCAATTGAGGGGTTATCAGATTTCAGAAGTGAGGTGGATTAAGGTCCACGATATTAGAGCAGATTGCTTAATAAAGAGATTCCATGCGAAATATCCTCAAAAACCAGGGGCCCCAATGGGGAAGGGAGGGAAACTAATTATTAATAAAATGTTTTTATTGTCTTCCAGATATCTCCCACGTTTCAGGGTGGTTTGGCTTGACAAACTTGAAGCACGCTTATGCTGTTGCACTTCTCAGCTTGCCAATGAACTAGGGAGGAGGGAAGGGTGAAATGGAATGTAGGCTCCAGGCATCAAGAAGACAGTGAGAGCCAAGGACACTTTACCAGGTGGCTAAAAACCTTAGAAACTCTTTCTCATAACAATTCAACATCATTTAATTGGACAATGTACCCTGCACCAATAGGGGAAGAAGAAGTCTACATTTTAATTATACAAGATTGTGCGGGAATTAACTAGAGCTGGTTTTGCCTTAATCTGTGCCAAAATTATGTACTCCATAAGGTTTTGCAAGAAGAGATCAACTTTTCATAACTATACTTGCTTGGTTGGGTCTGTCAATCGGAACATTGACATCAATTTTTAAACAAGCGAAGTATCTCCAAAAACTAAGAATTATGTCACTTAAATTAAAGTAATGGCATAGAAAGTAGCTTCTCCTTTTTCTCCCAAGGACACCCTATCTATATACAGCTAGAGACATCTTACCAAGTCCAACAGTAGAATATGAAAGAGGATGACACCCAAATCCACTGATCCGTCCAAATGTACCTGCAGACAACATAGAGCAGAATGATTAAAATTACAAAGTGAATGTCAGAAATACTTTAGGCAGAGTACTAAATGATACAGCCTAAGAGAAAATGTGACCAATCCAGCTTAGTGCTTCCTTTTCTTAGCTCAAGCATCAGTCAAGTAAATGAACTCAACTTGAACTTAAATATAGGAACTGGGTTTGGAAGATTACAGGTGGCTGAATTGCAATAGTACATTCACCAGCATCCACATGGCAGTCGAAACAGACAACACAAAGGCCACAGCATCATAAAGTTCTGCCCTTTTTGTACATGTGTCAACGCATATACAAAGGGATGGTACTTTGATCACAACACTACCACAGCCTTCTTGCCTGTTTGATTTCTTTCACTTTTTATGCCCTCAATTTTGTATAAGTGATTTTAATAAATTGATATTTTTCATTTTCAAGAATATGACCCTCAGAATTAGTTGTTTTTCACATTTCTATCAGAATTTACCTTTCAGTCCCACAATACCACAAAAAGAAGCTGGGATTCTCACTGAACCACCACCATCTGTACCAACAGCCAGTGGACAGAGGCCTAAAGAAAAATGGAATTCAGAGAAGATTTCATTAAATAAAATTATTTTCTCCATCATTTTTTCCACCGCCTAATCTGAACAAAACTTGAAATGTTGCTGTAATTTGCCTTGGTTTTTCAACTCCACTCTCCACTTTTTCATCTGTAATACTAGACTTACCTGCAGCCACTGCTGCTGCTGATCCACTAGAACTACCACCAGTAAAATGCTGGGGATTGTATGGATTTCTAGTTGTACCATGATATCTAGAAATAAAATAAATAGGTATTTTGAAGGCCATCATAGTGAAGGCTGGTGAGGAGGGAAGAAAGTATCTTTATACGCTAAAGAGATTAGATTGCAATCTGCCACAAGCAAAACTAAAAATATATCTGCTGCCAAGTCTAAGCAAGGGGAGGAGAGGGGCAGGAAAAATGGAAACAATAGAGTTGGAGAAAAAGATTGCGAGTAGAGAATTGAAAGCAGAGCACTGGCAAACGATCAGAGTAGGAGGAAGCAGTCAAGCCTAGTTTGTACCGTTACTGATTGCTCCAAAACCACTATAATACCATTCTTTTAGTATTATAAAGCTGCTTTTCTCTCTTTTGCTTGCCTACAGGTACACAGAAAAGCTTTTCCAGCCCCACTAGTTTCATACCTGCAAGCTAAGACAGCTCAATGCAGAAAGGCACCACTGCTACCAAGAAAGAAGGAAAGTAGCCTTCAGGGAAGCTTATTTAGCACAAAAATTCAAAGAGTTGCCATGCTTTTTCTTTTTTCTGGAAACAATGTAACCACCCAGTGGAACTTTTAAATCTTTCTTCTCTCACCTTCCATCCTCCAATAAGCTTTCATTACACTGTTTTATCATTCAAGATGTCAAAAATGTAATCATTTTTCTAACTGTCCTTTCTAGCCCTCACAAGAAACAGTTTGAATGAAAATCCATTTAGTGAATACATGTTATTTTACCTATTGGGATTACATCCAGTGGTCCCAATACCCAATTCATGCATGTTCGAGACACCAATGATAATGGCACCAGCCTCCCGTAGTTTCTTTGTCACAGTGGCATCTTCAGTCTCCGGCTTTTTGCCCAAGTATACAGTTCCACTTCGATGGTGATAGGGCACCTTATAAATATACCAAAAAGTATTCGTTCTATGGCAGGATTCTTTATAAATACAACCCAGTACTATATAGATAATTTATTCCTGCCTAAAGGGATGGCAATAAACCACACAGAACACAATTTCATAAGAAAATGCATCCTTTTAAGTTCTTCTCTTTGGGGAAGAAGCAGTGGTGGTATTCAACCAGTTTGGCCCAGTTCGGGCGAGCCGGTAGGAGCAATGAGCAGCGGAGACCAAACTGGTTCTCTCCGCCACTCTGCTGTTGGGCCCACCCACCTGCCTGGGCTCCCATACTCACTTTTATCGGCTGAATTTGACACGCAGCTGCTTTGTACGGCGCATAGTGCCGTGCACGGCAGCTGCTGAAGCAACCGGGATCGTGCAGGCTTGCAGGAGACAAGTTAGAACACGTCTGCGCAAACGACTCTGCACCTGTGCAAAGTGCACATTTGGCGCGCATGCACACAAAGTACATGCACGTGCACAAAGTGCGCCCACCAAGCCACACCCACTGAACCGGTGGCAACAATTTTTGAATCCCACTACTGGGAAGAAATTCCTGTCAGACCCAAATGACTCCATCTCAAAGCCCTCCTGCAATCCCATCTAGACTAAAAAAACAGAAGCCTCCTTATCACTCATAGCTTAGCCCAAGGGCCACACTTATAAGGGAATTGCAATTTAGTGACACTCAAACCTTCCATCTTCTTATCAGCTGGTGATCTCACCATTTCACCTTGTTCACAATTAATTTCCCAGCTTCTCTGCCCTCACAAAAGGACAGAGGAGCTGGGGAATTTGCCTAATGGACCTCACCCCAGATACGCAAATGAGGATGTGCGTAACTTCCTCAAACTGGTCAGCTAATAAGATTTCTAGGATTTCTTGCCTTGCATCCAACAATTTCTGTAAAAAAAACTTTGCTTTTCCATTGCTCAAAATCCATCTTGTAAGAAGACACGCAATGATCATTACAACAAACATGGTTCTTCTCCTCAGTGTTGTGCTCCTTACTTTGCCAAATTCCACAACACAGCAAACTCATTGTAATGAGCAGCATATTACTTTGACAGTATCTAATGCATAACTGTGTATAACCACAATAATTAGCAGCCATTGATAGTTTAAACTCCAATAATTCTTCCTATTTTTTTAAAAATCTCTTCAAGTTGGTGATTGTCATTACATCTTGTGATAACAAATTTCAGAATATGCCTCGACAAATCTGCTATCATTTTTAATATGGCAGAAATGAACATTATATAGATGAAGCAAATGTCTATTAACCATATATAATTAAATACAATTTAGGGGTTTTGTCATAGCCCTTTTCATCTCTACCTATTTTTGAAATACAGCCATTAAGCCAAAATGATTGCGAACCAGTAATTTAAATATATGCTGCTGTATGAAGAACTTTTTATCTCAGTCTCCCTGTGTTCAGCTTCATGAATGATAGATTTTCACTATTATAAAACAGCATTCTTTTATGAATCTGTATCACTATTGCTTTAAAATGAACTTTGAAACATTTCTTCATAAGGGACTTACTTTACTCTCTTGATCATTTTGGATTCCTTTTTCTGCTCCGTTTTCTAGTTCTTTAACATCTTGAGATGTAGCAAGAACAATATATGGTATTTCAAATTTCTTGCATTGTATTTTAGTATATAGGTATTATAGTATTGATATTAATGCAAGGCACAAAACTGATAGTATTAAGGTGCTGTTATACTTTCTTAATATTTCTTTCTTATACCCTTAATGTTTGTTTTCCTTTTTAACAACACTGAGCACAAAAAAAGTGAAATGTGTGTACCACTTTAATTTCTTCTTTTAAGCACACTGGAATTCCATCCAAGAGTGAGAGAGGCTGTTTGCTTCTGTAACGAGCTGTGGATTCCTCAGCCATCTGAGCAGAGAGATTTATGAAATAAAACATGTTTTATAATTATTCTACAGAAACAGTACTTTAAACAAGTACACTACAAAGTATCTCACCCTGAAATCCAAATCAGAAAGCTTCAGCACAAGAGAGGAATACAATTTAGAGAATACCTTTTTCAAGAAACAAGTAATACTCCTCTCACTGAACACACCTTGATTATCTCTTCCTCATTCCACTGAGCAATTGCCTGGAGGTTAGGACCTGCTTTCCCATCTTCTTTCAGAGCAGTAATAATGTTCTTGGCAACTTGTTGGGGTGTTATCTCTCCAGATCTAGTGAACAGTCAAAATGGAAATTGTTACATTTCTACTCTATTGTCAGATTCATGCTGAGCCTGAGGTCACTGGTAGTCCTGAACAGTAAGATTTCAAATGCACAATCCCAAATTCTTGAAAGGGAATGCTTAGTGAATCAAGGCTTTCTGAGCCCTATACTACTATATCATTTGTGCTGTGATGAACCAGGTTACTCCATGTAATCATTCAAACCAAACAAAACAGCTATGTTTTTATTCATGCAATATGCTAAGTAAAGCCAAACAATTCACATTATGGCCCAGGTATTCTGGCCGCAAACCATTGTTTACTTATGATTCTTAAAATGAGTGAACTATGTGGTTAGCTGCTCAGTTATTTGGGAATTGAGTGACTGAGATATGTGACAATTAAATTAAATTTGATCAGATATATGTTCTTGAATCAGACTGAGGAAAAACATGATCTTCTAGTTCCATCTGACGTGATTATGCATTATAATAATTGGCCCTTGTATGAATCATGAAGTCATTCCTCACCCCTGGAATGGTACTCCAAAGTAAATTTAAAATCAAGAACCATAGTTTGCCTGAAACATATGAAGCATGGGGAAACTGGGAATGATTATTCAATTATGTGCATGAACAGAGGTAAAGAAAAACAGAGTTAATTCCACAACAGAAACTAACGCCTGCTCATGCTAAAGATATCTTTATGGAAAATACAAACAATGCTTATATTTCTCCATTTGTTCTGGAATGGAGTGAAAAATAAGAACAAAGTTGGCCCTTAAGCTACTGTTTTGTCAATCAAGAGAACTAAAAAAAAAACCAAGAACAAACATACTTTTTTTAAAAAAAAATGCTGAATTCCTTACCTATAGCATTTCAAGTAATCCTGAATCCTTTTAAATCTGAAAGCAGAACTTGCAGAACATGAACTGTGACATAAAAAGGAACAATAATGATTCATGGATAATCTGAAAAGAGTAAGATGTTAACTGAAAAGCATTAGAGGCCCTCTTCTAATCTTTTTAGCAGAAACTGTCTGAAATTGGTGATCTTTCATTATTACTCATCCAATTTGACTGGATATGGCTCCATTTCTTTCTTTCTCAACTGCCACATCCTACTGGTGAGAGCTGCTGTGAAAGGAGGCAGTAGCCCATACTGCTCAATTTCATTTTCCCTAACCAAAAAAAATGAAAATCACTAGGAAGAAGAATGGGAAAATGTTTTCAGTTCCAATTCTGAATTCAAAATATACGATTTGTTCAACATTTAAGATTCCAAACAGGAATTCCAGAGTTTCATTTAATTTTAAAACAATAACACAACAGAAACAGAAAACTATGTATCTCCCTTTATGAATGCTCAATACTTGCTATAATTTGTGGATACATTGCATTCTTACAACGAAAGTTTGCAAAGCTATTACTTTCAATTATTTGCAACTACTCTGTTTCTCCAACAATACGGCCTCCCCCAATAGAAAGTCCCAGCATGTTTTATAGGCATGAAATGAAATTAAGCCCCTCCCCCCAAATTAAGGCCTATATTAAAACATGCGAAATGGGGGGGAATGGTGGGGGGGGCTTGCCATTAGGAAGTACTTTTGTTGCACACCCGGATATGGTGCTGCCTGCGTTGACCCCGATATGAAGTGCCCCACCAACGCCGAGGTCAACATCCAAGCTGTCGCCGCCCGCCCACCTGAAGATGCAAGGGGGGGGAATTAAATCACCCCCGAAAAGACAACCTAGCCATTTTTTCGGGGCTCAAAAAAAAAAAAGACCCGGCCTTATTATATGAGAAACACGGTATATATTTCCTACCCCTTAAATTACACACATGCCTTGATTCCATCAAACTCTGGAGAACTGCTGAGACATTTTTTGATTCTGACTTGTGCTCTTTTTTTTCTGAAACCACCAATGGCAAAAAAGTAGGATCTTCAGGAATATCAAGGTAGCGTAGAGCAGTAAAATTGTTCATCCTGCAAAAAGTGCATTAATATTATATTAATTTGAGAAAGTTTTTTTTTTAATTCAGTCAAGCACTAATTTAAAATTGTTTTCGAATGGTAACTTTTTTTTTTCATTTTTCTGTACTATTTCCCTCAAAGTTTTCCATTAATGACATGATTCTAAATGTATCCTAAATGTTGTCAAAAAAAGTTGCATTATTGGAACTGATCAGATATGCACACCATGGTCTACATTTCCTAATATTGTGCTAGCAACTGTGGTCTCAGAAGAAAGTGGTCTGCTATGCAGACAAAAGGCAACTGTACAGTACACTCAGGGAGCCCACATTGAATCTGAAGGAGCCAGCCACAGTTGCCAGTAAAATGTCAGGAAATCTGTTGTCTAGAGCAGTGGTTCTTAATCTTTTTGAAAGAATCGCCCCCTTGAGTCATTGAGGAAGTTATCATCGCCCCCCCACCCCCAGCATAACCTCTCAATCACAACACAGGGAAATAATTCTTCAATTTATGCAAACACGTTTTTTGTTTTCTTTAAAATTGTGATCAGGACATATCGATGCAAATAATTTATTTCCAGTCTTTTTCCCATATCTCAACTGTGTGAAAAATTCTGATGCCACCCATCACTTTACTCCCAAACTTCGTGATACATGTATTTCATTATTATCTGATTTATTCAAGACACTTAAATGCAATGACCACTGAAAACAAAATTCAATTGCAAGAAAATGAAATGCCCGAAAAAAACAGTAACATTTAATGATTTAATTACAAGTGAATTTTAAGATGCAAAAAGAAATATAAAAAGGGCATAAGAACAAATCGCAATGCAGGAACTAAGAATTTCAAGACGAAAACTCTGAAACTAAATTAAGATTCGAGGAAAATATATATTCATGCACACTGTAAAAAAGGTTAAAAAGGCACAAAGAAAATTTTTACAGAAGAAAAGCAACAAAAATCAGAGCGACAAATTTAATGGGTAGAGTGATAGAGGCTGCTGCGCAACACGCATGAAAATGAGCAAAGGATATTCACATATGTACGGCGTTCTGTACTGAAGCTAGCTGGAGGAACATTTTAAAACACAGTTCAATCCACTAATAGCGAGCGATCTGATGTTTTTGTACGACAGATATACAGTGGTTCACTGTACAAAAAAAGTCTCAAAAGTGTTCCCAAAACACTCCATCGCCCCCATATCGCCCTCCCTTCCATTCCTTCGCCCCCACGTTGCCCCTTTTCATTCCATCACCCTCCTGAAAAACGAAATTGCCCCCTGGGGGGCAATATCACCCAGGTTAAGAAGAACTGGTCTAGAGCAGTCACTAAACCCTGAAACTCAAAACTGTTCAACAGATACCAGCTGTGAAAGCCAGAAGATCAATTTACATATATAGCTTCTATGTTTCCTCTGTCAAGAAATGCAGGAAAAAAAAGTCAGCCAGAACATATACAGGTAGTCCTTGAGCTTCATTGGCAATTGAGAATGGGATTGCCATTGCTAACAATGTGCTCATTAATTGCAATTATTACATGACTACATTACTTAGTGATAATTCAGATGGTCCTGGTTGTCTTCACAACCCCAAGATATGTGAGTTATTAAGCAGGAAGCAGAGAGAGGGCCAGGTAAGGAGCACAGGGGTGTGGTGTGGAAGGAGGGAGGCCCCAGGAGGCTCGGTGTAGGCCTCACGCATATTTGTGGTATAGGAACACAGCATAAACTTGGGGAGGCCAGGAAAACAGGACGTGGGGTTGTTGGAAGTTACGATTCACCCCTCTCCTAGGAAAAGAAATCTTAAAACATTAGAAGGGGAAGGAAAATTCCCCTAAAAGAAAGGATAGGTGAAAACACAAGCAGGGTCAGCTCCATTAGCCCCCAACTTTGCATGGGACACACATTAGCTAAGATCCTTTCCCATAGAAATCAAATAGACGGCAAGCTATAACAAAACTTGTGAAAAGCAAACGGAATAACTGGAAACTCAGGATATTGCAACCAGGTCCAAACTGACAGCTACAAAGAATCAGGGAAAAACAGAGATTGGACTCTTACCAAGATCCCAGGAAGAGATCCCAATCTTGAGACAGGAACTCATCACACGAACACAAATCAAAGACTTCAAAGATTCACACTTACAAATCAAAGAACCTGAAGTGTATAAGAAAGGGGTTTTCCTACTCACTTGTTAAGTTAATCTCAGGAACGCTGTAGAATTTATTCTTATTTGCCTTCCTATTAATAAACTGCTTCTGGCTTCCAAAGCAGCTGACCAAATGATTTTGCTGTAAAATCTCCCAGCTGGGAAATTTGAATCCACAAAAGGAAAGAACTTTGCCTTTTTCCTGAAAGGGCAAGGCTTCCTTTTCCTTTCCTCAGGGTGTACAGTGTAGGGCGTGAACACAGGAGGATGGAGAAAGAGGGCATTGCATGCATGTGAATGTGTAAGCATAGTGAGGAAGGAGGCTGAGGAAGGAGGGTGCCACTTGTCTGTGTGTGATTGTAATGAGACTGGGGGAAAGGTGTTCTGGTGAGTTTAAGTGAACAAAGGGAGAATAAAATGTGGTGCATATGAATGAAGAAAGGTAGTGGTGAGATTTTCTTAAGTGACTTGCTGTTGACTTTGTCTTTCAAGATGCCAGAGAACTTCCGGTTTGAAGGGCTTCGGCGACAGACAGAAATCCGTGATCGTGCGCAGTTTCTGTCTGGCCTCGCCACTGGAGCGCCCCGAGCCGGCTGGTTTCGGGGCTAAGCCACCCCGTAGAGGTGGTGAAGAGGGGGGAGACCGCCAGCAGGGTTGAGGAGAGCTGCACCTCTCCTCCTCAGCTGGCCATTACTCCCTTTCCCGAAGGCGGTTGCAGCGGTGGTCAGAAATGGCCACCACAAAGGAGAACTCGACCGGAAAAGAATGTGCAGGAGGAAGATAAGAAGTGAAAGTTTTGGCTGACCGGGTTAAATTGTAAAAGCAACAATTAAGGTATCCTGGAATTTAAACTTACAAAAAATAACATCGCTCCCAAAGAAGAGTCGGAAGCAGTGAAGGAAAGTGAAAAGGGAAAGGTTTGGGTTTTTTTTTTTCTTCTCTCTCCTTCCCTATACTGACAACTAAGAGACTTAAATAAGAAATCAGAAAAATCCGCTTTGACATCAATAGGCAATTAAGCTGAAAATAAAACAAAATGCCAAAGGGATAATAAAGATTTCTGGACATTAAAAATTTTCTTTTTCATAAGCAGGAAGGGAGAGTAAAAGAATAAGGTCAGGATCTGGAAGAGGGAGGAGACTGCCTGGAATTAAAAAGAATCTACAGTAAAACTTCAACAAGACTTCTAAAAGATACATTTTAACTGAAACTTTGCAACTAAATAGTAGAACCCCAGGAAGAGAAAGTGAAAAAAAAGAGCAAAAAAGAAACAGCTTGCGTGTATTTGGATTATTTGGTGATCTTTGGATTCTTGGTTATTATATTTGAATGACTAAAATCAATCGGGTGGTTGTTTAAAAATTTATACAATGGCACCACTTCTGGATGAATTGAAAATGGAACTTAAAAAGTACAAAGAAGATGCACAAGAAGGGAAGGGTTCTTTTGGCTTCGTTTTTCAATTCTTAGAAATGGAGATTTGGAACTATGAGAAACAACAAGAAACGACTGCAAAACAAGAAGACTGGGACAAAGAAGAAGCCATCTTTAATGAACAAGCAATTTTATGTGGGGAAGAAAAAGGAAAGGTGGGAAAGAGAATGGAGAATTTAAGACTTAAAAAAACAACCAAAGATGCCAGCCTTCTCACCTTGTCTGATGCCAGAAGAGACTAGTTTTAAGTCCCTTCATATAGTGCCATTCACTGAATTAATGGTTGTAACTCTAGTATTCTTCTTGCATTATCTGTAATGCAAGTATTATAATTTAAGAGAGTCCTTTGATCAGGCAGACTGAAAGATCAAGCTGACCATTTGCCTTCAGCATCCATGCTACCTACAAATCAGTTTCAAAACTATGGATTAGTAATCAGTAATGAGAAGGAAGCAACCCTGGGGCTCTCTTTCTTCTTTTCTTCCTTTTTCCTTCATATGTAAAACCACCATTTATGCAACACCACTATAACTTGGAACAGTCACTGACCGAACAGTCATAGGTCAAAGACTATCTGCAGTATCTTAAGCATCTTCTGTGTGTTCAGAAGTTTCAAATTAATGGAAAATTTCTGGTTATCAGTGAATGAACAGTATGTTCAACTATTGAATGTTGTGCTAATTTTGAACTTTTTAATATTCAATCAAACTTTACACTCCAAACACAATACAGAACCACATCAAGAAGCTATTGTAGAAACTGTAGTGCTTGGTATGTATGTAAAATAGAAATGTTCCCACATATATTATTTAAGAGTACAGATTGTTAGCCTAGAAAATCTAGTGCTACAGTGAAAAAGCTCTCTGTCTCCCATACAGTGCATGACTCATTCAATTTGAGTTTGATTTTCATGTTCTCCATTTTACTCTGCTTGCACTTTGTCTCTATTATGTAATTCAGTTAGTAAAATTGTACTTACCGCATTAAAAATGGCACTAAAAAAAGTTGTCCAAAAGCCTACAATGAAAAAAAAACAAAAAAGAATTTTTATTTCTTCATTCTATATTGAGTTTTCTTTCAACAGAGACTGAATATAATTGGGCATAAAAAGAGCTAAATACAAAACACATACAGGTAGCATCTTTCTCTAGACTGAATTTAAGGGACACCCATTCTGGTCTCTCCAAAGCCAGAATATGCAATATTGATCTGGTATAGTGAATCAGTTATAGCAAAAATCATTTCCCCCATTCTCAAAAGAAAGTGGCTTCAAACGTTTTATACCACGCAGGAAACAGGTGCAGTAATTGCTGTATACTGCCCAGAGACATTTTCCATGCGGCAGCCACATAAATTTGATCAATAAATAAAATAAACTTTTATTTTACTAAACTTTTATTTTACATCTCAGGGAATTCTTTCATAGACTTTAAATCATGCCTGTTTCTTCCTCAGCCAGTGGAGAGAAATCTGGCATTATTCCTAACTGGAGTCTAACGTGTTGAACAGAGGAAGTTACAAAAATGCATGGACTCCATTTGAACTCATAGTGTGACACAGAAGCAATAATCCATGCAAAACGAAGTGAATAAAACAACAAAAGGCATCCAAAAAATGCAGCTTTGGCTATAAAAATCACAGATTCCAGAATAGGCAGGAAGTTGGCCAGTAACTGAACATCCCATCACATCCCATCAAACAGTACCTAGCCCAACAACAATAACCAGATAACAATAACCAACAACTACTAACCAGAGCATACAAAACATTTGCTAGACCAATACTCGAATACAGTTCATCAGTCTGGAACCCACATTATTAGCACAATTGAGAAAGTCCAGAAATATTTCACAAGAAGAGTTCTCCACTCCTCTACTCGTTGTAGAATACCTTATGCCACCAGACTTGAAATTCTAGAACTAGAAAACCTTGAATTACGCCGTCTTCGGTCTGATTTAAGCATGGTATATAAAATCATACATTGCAATGTCCTACCTGTCAATGAATACTTCAGCTTCAACCATAACAACACAAGAGCACACAATAGATACAAACTCAAAGTTAACCGCACCAAACTTGATTGCAGGAAATACGACTTCAGCAATAGAGTGGTCAATGTCTGGAATACTCTACCCGACTCTGTAGTTTCTTCCCCAAACCCCAAAAACTTTAACCTTAGACTGTCTACTATTGACCTCACCCCTTTCCTAAGAGGTCTGTAGGGGGCGTGCATAAGCGCACCAACGTGCCTACCGTCCCTGTCCTATTGTTTCTCTTATTCTTCTTTTATTTTTCTTATATGTATCCATTTCATGTATTCACAACTATGTATACACTTATACTTATTATCTTGTAAACAATTGGCAAATCAAATAAATAAATAAAATAAAATAAATAAATGAGGATACAGCTGAGGTACTGTACAGTACAATAGAAAGTACTGAAATGTTATAAAAAGAGAGGACCAGACAAGAACTTGGTTGGAAGACATTCCATGTACCCATGGGTCACAATCCATCTTTTTCTCTCCCCTCATGTTTCTCAATTGAACTTGGTAAGTATTTGATTAAACAAAATGGATAACTAAGACTTCTTTGTTGTGTACCAAAGATCCCAAAAGAGTATGAGGGCAAAAATGAAACAGAAGCTTCCTTTTCTTTAAAACTCAGTTATAAATCTTGAAATGTTTAGATAAAAGTAAACTTATCAAGTAACCTTTTTGGTTAGAGAGACTGTTGTCATAACTCAACTTTTATGATCTAACAAATAACTTTTCAAAAGATAGCAGTTAGACTTATATACTGCTTTCCACCCTTCTCTAAGCAGTTTACAGAGTCAGCATATTGCCCCCAACAATCTGGGTCCTCTTTTTACCCACCTCGGAAGGATGGAAGGCTGACTCAACCTTGAGCCAGTGAGACCTGAACTGCCAAACTGCTGGCAGCTTGATCAGCAGAAGTAGCCTGCAGTACTGCACTCTAACAACTGTGCCACAGATGAAGGAAAATTGTTCACTAGTTATCATCCGACATGATTTGACACAGTATCATTACTGTGCAATGACTTGGTTACAGACTCATCTAGGTTGCAAAGAGGGATGCAGCCAGAGGTGAAAGATGTTGGTTTGACAGACCTACACAATGTCATTATGATAAACATTAAATAGGGGGATCAGGATACACAACTTGACTCTTTATTCTGCTTAACTCTTTTTGAGGTTGGAAAGTTATCGTCAATAATCTGCCATTTGTTCATCTAACCTGTGCTGTTGTATTCTCATGAAACATCATAATTAATCACAGAGAATGCCATAGCCTGTCACAGAGAATTGCATCAAATAATGCCTTCATTTTGGATGTTACTAATAGAGAGGGACAAGAGATTACCTGAGGTTATTTTGCAGATACATTGATCCACTCTTGAAAAGTTTAGTCTAAAATCTGCTTATTCCGCAGCTATTTGTTTCTCTCAGCTCAACCAATCAGCAAGTTTTTGAAACAGATATTTTGCATATAATTTACTGATTATACACTACAATCTGATTGGAAAATAAGGTTAAGTTGTTCTTGCTGCCTTTTTGCTAACTGGTATTACTTTACTTTTTGGATCAAGTAGACAAATTGGAAATTTATGTCCAAACCACCTGGAAATTACCAAGTGGCCTAGCCTTACCTTTGATAATCCTCACTGAAAATCAAGAAATATGCTATAGATATAGAATATATATAGATATAGTTTGAAGAGTACAACTTTAACCATATTGGTCTTGGGATTCTATGCTATAAAAGACATATTCCGTACAAAAAGAGAAGGCCAAAGAACACAAGGAAAACCCAGAAAAAGATGGAGAGACATCAAAGACACACAACAACAGCATCAAGTAACAATGGTTGAGGCCACTAGAACTTGGTATCTCCCTCGGCATCCGAAGTAGTAAAAGAAGAAATAAAGAAGAACGGGGAAGAAAGGCTGGATACTTACTGTATTGGCCAAGTGCACGCAGACCTTTAGAGGAAATCCAGATAGTCTGGGGGACCACTAGAAATAAAGAGAGAAACAGACACTGGTTTACAGAAGTATTGTGACCACAAATCCATTAGCTGTTGTTTTTTAAAATCAAATAAACACTGCTGTCCCTCCAACATAATTACCACAGCATATGACTGTAATTTCAATTATATCTAAATCTAATTTAATTCAGAGTTAAAAATAATTTGGAATATTTTAGAAATTACATTTTTTCAGCTCTCTATATATTTTTAAATAAATCCTTATATATTCATTTTTGTCAAATAAATTCCTAAGTATTTAATCTAATGTCTTATTCTATATAAAATAATGTATTCCCTCTCTGTTAAGATATGGTATCTCCATATATCCAAAAATGATGATAATGACATATAAGCTGAGAGGGAGTTTGGAGAGTAAAGGGGAATTTGCTGGAAATCCTTTTAGAAGAAATAATTATTGGTGGGCTGCTAGGGGCTCGGGCAATCCCCTAGCTTTGCGGGGCTCAGCGAGCCCCCAAATCCCATTCCTGGCTGGCCACCCCGCACCGCCCTGCGTTGGTCACCATAGCCTTAGTGCAGGAGCGGCCCTGTACTTGCCTTCGTGCCACATTTGCACTCAAGGCAGCCCTTACCTCCCGCCACACAAGGGGTGAGGAGAGAGATTAGAGAGAGAAAAGGGAATTCTCCCCTTTTCTCTCTCTCATCTCCCTCTCTTTTGTGCGCATGAACGCACACACACAAGCAGGATACCCTCCTGGGCCGGAATCACGGCAGCGGTAATGGCGACTCCTCCTCCCGATGCCGCCACTGCGGGCTCACATGAATAGTCAGCTGCGCTCTTCCCTCATTGTATTCAGTGGCAGCGGCAGCAGCAGCTGCTCCTCCTTCCTGAGCCGACATGAAGGGGACCATGGCTGGCGCTGAGCACAGAATCATAAAAAGCAGCCGGTCGAAAATCCACTGCCCAGCCATGGTCCCCTTCGTGTCAGCTCAGGCGAGAGAGACGAAAGAGAGAAACAAGTGAAAGAAAGAGAGAGAAGGGGGAGAGGGCAGGGGTGGGATTCTACTGGATCGGACCGATTCGGTAGAACCAGTTGTTACAATTCTCCGTAGTTCAGAGAACCGGTAAATCACGCCTCTGGCTGGCCCGCCCCTCTCTGCCCGCTTCTCTTCTCCCTGCCGTCAGACCTCATCGCGCATGCGTGACATCACACACATGTACATCACTGCCTGCAGCCTGCCCGCCCACCAGCCCAGCCATTGCTATCTGCCTTCTGCTGCGGCATTGCCTGATCTGATCTCCCTAGGTGATTGAGGTTCTGCAAGCCCCAGTCGCCTATCTGCCACTGCCGGTCGCCTTTCCCTGCCCCCCCCCACTTGCCTTTTGCCCCTTCCCCACTTGCCTTTTGCCACCACCAGTTGCCTTCCCCCCCCACTTGCCTTCCACCGGGGAACACATAGGAGAGGCTCATGTCAGCTCTGGCCAGGTCAGTGGCTGCTTCTCTCCCGTGCTGCTCCAGCTGGGAGAGCGAGAGAGTCTTTCCCAGCACAGCAAAAGCTTGCAAGTCCCCCTCCCATTCGGAAATGGGCTCTGGCAGCATAGAGAAACAGGATTCAACCAGGCTGCTTCTCTGCCGCTGACCATAGCCCATATCCCAATGGGAGGGGGACTTGCAAGCTTTTCAAGATTGAGTTTAAGAGCACCCCATGGAAGAAGCCGAGAACAAAAGTAGCAGCTGCGAGGGTGACAGGGGCATGTGTGTCCGTGGTCTCCTCCCAGGTGACAGCCAAGGCTTCACCTCCTCTTTTCCTCAGAGGCACGGTGTCTGCCCCCCTTCACACTCTGCCACCTCTTTCAGAGTCACCCTGCAGCCTAAAGATAGCCCTTAGATAGCCTAAAATGGTTTGGGTAGTTTTTGTACTATTAAAGCAGTGGTCTTCAAAGTTGACAGCTTTAAGACTTGTGGACTCAACTCCCAGAATTTCTCCTCCAGTCGTGTTAGCTCAGGAATTCTGGGAGTTGAAGTCCACAAGTCTTAAACTTGCCAAATTTGAAGACCCTTGTATTAAAGGCTCATCTGTATCTGAGTAGATGAAGTCCACAAAGTATTTGAGGGTAAGATTCACAGGAGAATTTCTGAAAAGGAAAACCACTTTGGAATCTAAAAATGAGGATGTGTCAGAAGACAGGTGGAATTTTTAAAAAAAGACCAAAAATTTATGTAGTTCCACATTAATTCATTGCCTGTGAGATATAGAAAATTGCCACTAACTTAATGTAAGTGCTTTTCTTGAATCTAGTTAAATAGAGAATTCCTAGTGTTAGATCGGGTAGCTCGGTCCCCATAGAGACGCGAGACCAAAAGTGAACATTCAGCTCTTATTGAGTATACAGTTCTGTACAAGACCTGCGCTTTGCGGCAGCCCTTCATATAGGAACTGTCCACGGCGCGGCGGCCAATGACAGGGCTTTGAATCTCCCGTGATCGGCTCGGCCAATCGCGGTTGATTCTTAGCGCGCCAATCACGGCCGTTTAGTTGTCCAATCAGGTTGCGGTCCGTGTGGACCAATCAGGATTCAGGGTTTGGAGTATGCTAATACAGAACACCCCTCCCCTCTTGGTTTCGTCCGACGGAACGCGGTCACGTAGTCGCGCAGGTAGGTGGGGTTTTGTATCTGTCTAGTTGACCTGCGCGGTTCAGTTGTTGTTTGGTCGTCAACCGGTTCGGACGGACTCTTCGTTGTTCCTGTGTCCCTGGATGGAACCGCCTGGAAGGGTGAGCTGGGCCTTCTCTGGTAGCTCCCTCCCGGTCTACCCGGGTTGGTTGAGCTGCCGATTCTGCCGTTCCCGCCTGGTCTTTCCGGGCTGGTTGAACTGGCTTGGCTGCTCCCTCCAGGTGAAGCCTCTAGTCATTCGTCTGCTGTGGATGCGTCGTCTACCGGTGAGTAAGGCTGGTTTATTATGGTTTGGGGGTGGTTAATTTTGGTTGGGGGGTGTTCTGTTTGCTCTTTAGGATTTTCTTCTTCTCTTTGCTGATGGTTTGAGGTCCCCCCCCCTTCTGATTTCTTTGTTAGTTGTTGTTGGCGGTGTTTGCGTGCTGTCAGTGGCTATTCTTGACCTAAGCTGGTCGATGTGCTGCTTCCAGCTTCGTCCGTCGGTCGTCTGTAGTCGGTAAGACCGGGGGCCCGTTATCTGGGTTATTTGTGCCGGTACCCAGAGTGGGTCCCCTGTAAAGTTTTTTGCGTAGATGGTGTCTCCTATGTTGAACGTTCGGTGTTTGCTTGAAGAGTCTGGGGGTTTCTCGGGGTTATATGTGGGGTGTAATCTGTCTAATGGGGATCTTAGTTTTCTGCCCATGAGCAATTCTGCTGGGCTTTTGTTTGTGGTAGTGCTGGGTGTAATGTGTTGTATTAAGAGCATTTTATTTATTTTCTCTTGTATGTCGCCAATTTCGATCTTTTCTATGGTGTTTTTCGTGAATCTGACCATGCGTTCCGCCTGCCCATTCGCCACCGGGTGAGCTGGCGCTGTTAACGCATGCCATATACCCTGTTCTGCCAGAAATTTTTCGAATGCTAGTGAAGTAAATTGTGGCCCGTTATTGGACACTAGCACATCTGGCAACCCATGTGTGGTAAAAAGTTTGTTTAGCTTTTTTATGACGGCTTCCGTAGTTGTAGTTTTCATGGTGCTTACCTCCAGCCAGTTGGAGTAAGCATCAACGGTGATCAGGAATGTGTGCCCCTTGAATTCTGGACCAGGGGCCCCTGGGGGTTTCCCATTCCAGGATTGGGGCGGTGGGGGGGGGTTGGTCTGGTTCCCTGGCAGCTTTTGCATGTGGCTACCCAAGTCTCGATTTGTTTGTCCATCCCCGGCCACCAGGCGTAACTCCTGGCCAGGGCTTTCATCTTGACAATGCCCGGGTGCCCCTCATGCAACATCGACAACACCCCTCTTTGCAACCTCTCTGGGATCACAACCCTGTCCCCCCAAAGTATGCAACCCTTCTGCGTGAAGAGTTCAGTTTGCCGGTTTCTGAAAGTTTTAAATTGTTTGTTTCCGTCGCTTTCCGGCCACCCTTTCTCCATCCAGCCCAAGACTCGCGCCAGCCGCTTGTCTTTATTAGTCTCTCTGGCAATGTCTGACGCGGTCAGGGGTGGGTTGGGCAATGTCTCAATGTGCAGGTTGTTGTTGTGGGTGCCGGGTCGTCCTCCAGGTCTGGCAGGGGGGAGCGGCTCAATGCGTCTGCATGCAAGATGTTCTTGCCGGGCTGGTGTGTCAACTGGTAGATATAGGCGGCAAGGAACTCGGACCACCTTGTCATCCTGGGTGATAGGATGTTTGGGGTGGCCTTGTTCCCTGCCAGGATCCCTAGTAATGGCTTGTGGTCGGTAACAATTGAAAAGGTCCTACCGTAGAGGTACTCGTGGAACCTTTTCACGCCGGCAATGATTGCTAGGGCCTCCTTGTCCAGCTAACTGTAATTTCTTTCCGGTTTGGAGAGTGTTCTTGAAAAGAAGGCGATGGGTGCTTCTTTTCCGTCTGGCAACATGTGGCTGAGGATGGCCCCGACACCGAAGGGTGACACGTCGCATGTCACAGTCAGCGGCAGGGTCTCACTGTATTGAATAAGGACTGCGTCTGATGTTAGTAGGTCCTTGGTCTGTTTGAAAGCGTTTTCCTCCCGCTTCCCCCAGGTCCAGATGGCTGTTTTATCCAACAGCCTATGCAAGGGTTCCGCCGCGGTCGCCTTTTGTGGTAGGAAAACATTGTAAAAATTAATGAGCCCAAGAAAATCCTGCAGTTCCGTTTTATTCCTTGGTCTAGGGGCTTCTTTGATGGCTCTGAGTTTTTTCTCGGTGGGGTGGATTCCGTGCTTGTCTAGGAGGTAGCCCAGGAATTCAACCCTCTCGGTGCACAGCTGACATTTTTCTTTTTTAACTTTAAGCCCCGAGTCTTTGAATTTTTGTAGTACCTCCCTTAGGCGGTTTTCCAATTGCGTTTTATTCGTAGCTGCCACCAAGAC